GTTTTTCGGGCTTGCTCACCTTTCCTGTTCTCTTCCCCTCAATTCAGGGTTCCCCCAGGAACACCATCTGCAGGCAAGGAACCCAGGATGCTGTTCTGTCCTTGTTTGGAGGTTTCTCTGCTTTCAGATAAAGAAAAGTGAAGGGGACATTTGCATATTGACATGAGGAGCATCATCCACACATTCGTTTTTCTGTTCCCACTGCGCATTCCCAGGGGCTTACTCTTAAAAGTCCTCAAGTGTTTATTTCATTTATTTGTGTGTGTGTGTGTGTGTGTGTGTGTGTGTGTGTGTGTGTGTCTGTCTGTCTGTCTGTCTGTCTGTCTGCTAGAGATTGAATCCAGGACCTGTGCATAGTAAGTGCAAGTGAGTGTGAGTGTTACAACTATGGAGCTGCAAAGGGACAGCTCTGAAGACTGGAGCTGAAATAGGACAGCTCTGGAGAGAAAACAATCCTGGCTTGTCAGGAAATCAGGCTATACCTGGAGTTGGGATGTGGTGGGGGGTGGTCTCCCCACAGGATGACCCCCTCTCCTCTCCTAAAGAGCCACTACAGCTGAGCTCTGCTCTGTTCCCTTAAGGGAAGCTCTGCTTCTTCTGCTGTAGTACAAGATGTTACTTCTTTGCTTTGCTAAAGGGGAAGCCCCTGCAGAAATGTAGCAATCTCCTCCCAGTCCAGCAAAAAGTCACTTTTTATGCTCAAATCCTAAGGGAGTTTCCTAGCAGATGTAGCTATTTCTCCTGGCTTTTCTGCACAGCCCCCTAAGAGGCAAAAGGTTGACTGGGGTTGCCCATATATTTCTCTTATTAGTTGAAGAATAAAACACTACTGGCCAATAAGGCAGGAAGATGGGCGGGACTAGAAGAAGAGGAAAATGCTGGCCAACAGTTTAATAATATAACGTCTGTGTGTTTTTGGGGTGCTAAAACAGTGGTGATTCCCTTCTAGGCCAGAAACTTACATCATAAAGGCTCTTTTTAGTTTTCTTTGCTTAGTCCCACTAAGGAAACATCTCAACAATAGTCCTCTGGTCTGCTCTGGTAAAAGATGTTCTTCACCCAAAAATTTTTATAAGAAAGAGATTTATTTGGGAAGGAGACTAAGAGAGTGGCTGCCTTTCCCAGGAGGGGAAGGGCAGCCTGCAACTGAACTGGAAAGGGGACTTGGGGGTGGAGTTTTCCCAAGGGAAAGATTTTCTGCTCAGGGATTGGTTAGTTTTCCTGCTCAGGGAATGGTTGGTTTCATGTTTCAGTTGATCAGGGGCAGAGTTGTCTCTAATTTTAGAAACAAACTGTGTTTATTTTATTGACCCTTTTCAGTATTTTAGCTCTAGTACTTGAGCTGGGGCATGTTTCTTTTACTGGCTCTGGTTCCAGGGCCAAAGTGTATTTCTTTGGCTTTGGTTTCAGAGTCAGCATGTGTTTCTTAGGTTCTCAGTTCAAGGCTAAAAGTGTTTCTTTCACTGGCACAGGTTTCAGATCCAGGGTGTGTTTCTTTCATTGGCTCGAGGTTCAGGGTCAGGGTGCTAGATTTCATGCTCAAGGATTGGTTGGTTTCTTTGGCTGGCTCTTCTACCCTACAATAAGCAAGTATTCTACCACTGAGACACACATCCTGTCTCAGAGATGGGTAAGTTCAGCAACCATAGGTGTGCAGGCTTTGAACATTGACAATGTCAATATATAACATCTCAGAATGGGTGAATTGACCTACTAATGGTGTGGTCAACAGTCAATGAAGGGAAAGACCTAAGCACAATTCCCACAGATGTCTGTGCACATTGACATGGCTTCCAGCTTTAGGTTTGCATGCTTAAGATTTTGCCTTGGCAACATCCTTTCCTTGCCATGACCCTAGCTGACATGACCATACCTGGACCAAGACCCAGTACCAGGGGTGAAAACTGGATTGGCCCATAGCACCCATTGCCCTGACTTCCTCATGGCTTCAGAAACAGCATGTGACCCAGCCCTGAGTTTTCGATAAAACTGTTGGAAAAAAGAAGCTCTTTCCTCTGATGTTGTGAGGGCTTAAGGACTATGAGAACTCCAAGCTGTGAGGGTTCAGGGAATGTGAAGGTTCAGAGCTGTGAGGTTGCTGGGTCTCCATGATGCCCTCCACTTTGTGCTAATTAAAGAACCTACAGCATAGCTTCCCTCATTGGTTGCCTCACTCATCCCTGTGGCATTTTCTGGCTCAGTTTCTTTTAGTCAGAAAAATTTTCTGACTTCCCCAATTCATCTCTTCCCCCCTAGGAGCAACCACAAACCCCTGTTGGCCTCCTCTTCACACCAATGGTCAGTTCACTCAGCAAACAAAACTGACACAGAACAGATAGACTAGCAGAAGCTTACCAGTTACATATGTTCACAGTCTAAGGGAGAAGGACACTTTTCTGCAGAGTTCTATGGAGTGACATCTATGAGCATAGCCATCAGGAAGGGTTAGTGTCATGCAGCGAGGTATCACAGGGAGGAGTAAGTGACACCCCACCTAAGATGAGCTTGGCCTGAAGGATTTCTCATTCTAGCAAGGAAGGGAAACCCATGAAGTGGATGTCATGGAGTTTGAGACCACCGGACCATCAATTCAGATTATACTTATCCAAATTTATTAAAACTTCTACGAGGGCAGCAGTCTCTAACTCAAATCAGAGATCAACCATGAGGAGGCAGCTGAAGGAAAGGCTTTTAAAGGCAAAAACCACAACAGCTTTTCTCCTTGGCCAAGATTATGTGGCCAAGGTGACCTCAAAACAGTCCTTGAATATCTGCTTAAGCAGATTACAGAAGCCAAAATTAAGCAGTTAGTCATAGCATAACAAACAGATGGTTACATCATGGCTGCACAATTCTGGGTGGAAGTCGAGGAGTCAAGATTGCAGGGAACTTATCTTCCAGGAGTTTGGTTCAGGGACAAAATGTCTGTATCAAAATGGATACCTAGCATAAAACTGAATAGAAGGCAGCTGATCCCATGGTGGGGTGCTAGCCAGATAGGGAGCCTTTCAGCAGGTGGGGACTACAGTTAAGATGAGGGGGTCTCAGGCTGAGGTCTTTGAAGTCCTGGGAGGCTCAAAGATGTCCTGATCAAATACAAGCCCCCTCTTGTCTGGTGGGACCTTTAGTCCTGGCACTCCAGAGGCAAAAGCAGAGACAAGCTGATCTCTGTGAGTTCCAGATCAACCAGGACAACATAGAAGGACCCTGTCTGAAAAACAGCCTGCACCCTATGCTCTCCCTTCTTCTCACCCAGCAATATCTTTCTGACAGCACTGTAAGGGAATGTCTCTAGTGAGAATCCTCAATGGAGGCCTCTCACTCCTGCTGCATTCTCTCTTCTGCCCCCTGTTGGTGGCTCCTGTTTTCAGGCCTTAGTCTCAGGATTTCAGCTTATATCCAGAAACCTGTGAAGAATGAGCACCTTGACAAGCTTCCCTTGGGCACAGAGCTAGAGAACAGAAAGCTGACTGCCCAGGAGCTTCAAGAAGAGACTTTATTTAAACCTTTCCATACTTAATTCACAGAAAAACCGAAGATAATAGCCTGTAGTTATTGGCATTTCTAAGGCCAGACACCCTTATTCTTTATGTTTTTTTTTTTAACCCTCTATTGAATATTCCCCAAGATTACATGTTCTTTCAGGTTCACAGTGGCAATGAGGAATGAAAACATGCATTGAACCAAGAGGTATTTAAAGCAGAAGAGGATGCTGTCTGCCCGGGCATAGCAAGGGAAGGAACACGATGTAAAAAGTCAGGAGACCCAAACTGCTGTGGTGGAGGGGAACTGGACATGTGCAGACCTGGTGCATGAGGAAGGGAGCTGAACCAGGCAGCTCAAAAGAAGACAGAGGACCTGCCAGCCCCAAGCTGCATGGGTTAGCTCACTCAGGAGAAACTGGGATTCAGACTTCAGAGAAAGTGGGCAAAGAAAGAGGTAATGGAACATGGTTGGACAGGGTGACCAAGAGTGGCTGTCCCTATAGAAACAGCCAGTGCTCCTAAACAGACATAAGGAAACTGTGGTCTCAACTAGAGAAAGCCTCATAATAATATAGGAAGAATCCCTCAGTCATTCTGAAGCAAACTGCCCCCTCTCCCAAAACAGGGTCTTGTGTACCAGGCTGGCCTCAAACTCACTGTGTAGCTGAGGATGACCTTGAGCTTCTGATCCTCCTCCCTCCACCTCCTCTCTGCTGGGATCACAGGTATGCACCACCACACCCTTTAGTGTGGTCCGCAGGTCAGACTTGGGGTTACTGGTGCCAGATGAGCACTTTACCCACTGAGCCACACTGCCAGCCTTCTGGTGTGTTTTTCTATATTTTTGTTTTTTTATTTTATAATTGAATTTACAGGACAGAAGAAATGGCGTACTACTCTATTGGAAGGCCAGAGTTCAGATGTCAGCACCCATATCAGGTTGTTCATTAACTTCTGTGACTCCAACTATAGGGGGCTGTACACCTTCTTCTGAACTCTGTGAGAACACACACACACACACACACACACACACACACACACACACACACACACATCAAAAAGAAGTTAGTCTTTAAATGTATTTGCAACAGACACATTAAAACATGGAATAGTTACATGTGTTGAGAGTACCTTGTGGTGTTCTAATGCATGTAAAAATTGTATAGTGTTTAAATTTGGATAAACATGTCTGTTTCATCAACACTGGTCATGTTTGGATACAGCTTTTATGTGGTCATCCACGGCTTCTTAGAAACATCAGGAAAACCCAAACAAAATTATCTGCAGGTGTCAGGTATCTACCTGCCTCACCTGGGCAGCAGGGATATCTATATTTTCTCCATTTCCTTGCCCATTTACCCAACCCCCTTTAGGGACCTCCAGGGACAGATAATTCCAAGATAAAACAGACAGACTCTAGGATGTGTTTAAAACAATTTTTAATCAAGAAAAACTTAGCACAGAGCAATATCTCTTCAAGCTGGATCACTGTAGCAGTATGCATGGGTACTGAGCTCAGGACCAGTCCTGTTATGGGCTTGCCTGGCTGTAGGACCGCTTACAGATGAAAGGGAACTTATTGTCACAGGAAGAATCATTCCAGGCCCGAGAGGAGGACACTCTGATATTGGCACAGTGTTCATTGTTCCCAGTATTGTTGGGCTCACCTGGAATCCAGAACCTACCAAATGAGAAAAACAAGGACACTTTGTGCACCTGGCAGAATGCTTACCTAGCATGTAGGAAGCCCTGCATCAGATCCACAACACCATATGCCAGCACTCAGGAGGTAGAGGCAGGAGGATCAAAGCTCAAAGTCAATTTAGGCTACATAGCAAGTTCCAAGCCAATCTGGGATACATGAGATGTTGTCTTAAAGTAAGTTATATTAGAGGCCAGAAAGATGACTTAATAAGTTACTGGCAAGCAAAACAGGTGGCCTGAGTGTAATGTCCAGGATCCACACAGCAAGAAAGATCCAGCTTGGAATAGTTGTCCTCTGACCTCTATACACATGTGTCACATGATCCCACACATACATCATGTACACACAAAATAAAATTAAATTAATAAATAATGTTGATGAGTTACTTCAATCTATTTTCATCCTTGGTGACAATACCACAAGGTTTTGTTCCCAATCATAACAAAATGAGTAAACCTTCTACTCCAAGCCTCTTACTGTGCCCCCACCCCCTTCTCTCAGGCTCTCACAGGACCCTGCTCCATAGGCCTGGACTTGGGTCAGACTCACCCCACCTGGGCAGAAGAAGGTCTTGCTGCCCGGCCGCACAGGGCATGCAGGTTCCTAAGTGTTCCCAGGACACCAGTGAGCAGCAGCAGTTTGCTGGATGTGCTGCCACTGTGCTAAGGACAGCACACAGCCCTGTGTCCATGGGAATTCACCACCCATCCAATCAGGCTGGTAAGGATGGCACAGTAGACACACTCACCGCTCACTTTGCTTCTTGTTGAATGATGTCCCATCCACCCAGTACCAGTCCCCTTCAATCCCTGCTTTGGTGAGACCAATCCAACATGGAAGCCCATCTGCTGACTTGTAGAGAAACTCCTGTGGGGAACACAGTGTAAGTGAGGGGACACCCAGCTACCACCATTCCTTGAGTACTCTTTACTCATACACAGCAGCAGCCCCTGAACTTGACAGTGCATTCACAAGATTCACAGAGACTCGGGTATTGCATCTCCTCTCCATGCCTCCATGACCGCTCCTGCAGCCCAGAGCCCACTTCCAAGTCCTAGCTGCGCATTGCTTATCAACTAACAAACTTGAACTTGTGCTTTCTAATGAGGTGTACAGAACAAGGGAGACACAGCCTGCCAGGCATGGCAACAGATACCTGCAATCCCTGCACTTTGGAGCCTGAGGGCAGAATATTGAGAATTCAAGGTCAACCTGAGTTACTTACCAAGACTCCATCTCAACAGAAAAAAAGTAAAAAGCAAACAAAAAAAGACCCATAAAATTCGGCTAAACAGCAAACAAGGGACAAGGGAATGGCCTGAATGCTAATACCTAAATTACATGAGACCTTAATTGTGCCAGATGCTAGAAAACCACCTATGCCTTCCTCGCTCTTTTACCCTCAATTCACTTGAGGTGAGGCCTGGAAATGTAAGTCATCTCCCCAAGGCTCCAGGATAAGCTTGCTGGCAGACTGTAACACTTGGCTAGCATAGACCCTGGTGTCTTCTGCTTCACTTCTCCACCTGCCAGATCAATGAGACCAGTCTACACTCTATCACCAGGAAGGAGGCCTCCTGGGTCCTGGGTTATCGTTAATGTTGGTCACAATGTTTCTATTTTCTGGCATGTGGAAAGAGTGCCCCCTTCTGCCCTTCTTGAAGCTATCAGATTTGTGTGACTGGCTCTGGCTAGGGGCATGTGAGCAGAAATGACATGTAGGTTGAGGGCAGAAGATTTAACAGCCAATGAAGCATGCAGTTTCTCCTTGCTTCTTTAACAACTGTGGATGCATGTTGAAATAAAGAATCCTATGGCTTAGGTCCTTGATACTCATAAGAATCAAATCCTTGTAGTCCCATTCAAGATGTGTAATATACATGTGAAATAAATCTGGGAGGGGGCACTAAGAGATGTCCCAGTGGGTAGAAGCACTTGCTACACAAGCATGAGGCTCTGAGTTCAAATCCCCAGCACCCATATAATCTTAGCCCTGTGGAAGACAGAGGGAGAGGATCTCTACAACTTACTTGCTAGCTACCAGTCAGTGCTCAGGGAATGAGACAGTGATAGAACAGGACATTTGATGTCCTCCTGGGCATTCACACATGCATGGGTACATGCTTCTGCACACACACATTCACATGCCACACACACACACACACACACACACACACATCCAGAGAGAGAGAGAGAGAGAGAGAGAGAGAGAGAGAGAGAGAGAGAATAAATGAGCCTTCATTCTTAAGTCATGGACTGTTAAGGAATTTTTGTTACCACAGCCAACTCCCGCTCAGCCTCTCTGACATACCCTTCACAAAACCTGTAATAATTGCACTCACTTGTTCTGATTCTGAGGTCACTGAGGTCAGATGAGCATCCCTAGAAATGCAGGACTGCTCTGCACTGTACCAGGTCTTTGGGGTATGAGAAAAGTAATAGAAGTTCCCCCTGAAGTACTTCCAGCCTCGGGACATCATCTCCAGAATGTCACCTGGAAAACAGAGGCTAAGGTAACTGAGATGCTCCTGGTTTGCTGCATCCTGACTGGGCATGGGGTGTTCAATGGGATTCTAGGGACAGCAGTGAATAGATCTAGGATCTAAGGGTCCTTAGTTTCCTAGTGTTGGGCTGGGAACACTCTATTGGAACCCTAAAGGTCTGAGACTTGTGACTAGAACCTCTGAGGCTAAAAAGGTACAGTGTCAGGGAGGAGAGGCTATGAGAGGAACATAAGGGACCATTACTCCTGGGCCCTGGCCCACAGTGATAAACATCATGGGAAAAGGCAAGATACAGGCCATATGTAACAGGTTATATTAGTAAAATCTCATATGTGAGCTCAACGAGAAGCTGGCTCTGGAGTGGGGATGCCCACCCTTCCCAGTTTCAGACCCAAGCATGTTGTCTCAAAGTGCCCTCTAAGGAGAGAAAGGTCAATTTGGAAAACCAGCTGTCTGCTTCAGCTTCCCCAGTGGGTTTCTGCTAGATATTTGTAGCTCCAGATTCGATGATGTCACCATCCAGCCATTATTTGTTCTTTCCCCAGGGAACCCTCTACCTCTCAGGGACTCTCTAACAGAAACCTCAATAAGGGCCTCAGTGTGGCTTCCCCAGTTGATTTCTGCTGGATGTTTTGAGTGCCCAGTTTGATGTTACTATATCAATCTATCACCTATTTAATCTATCTGTCTGTCTGCCTACCAATCAAATATCCATCTATCATTTGTTATTCATTCTTTTATTTTTTTAGTTCACTATATGCTTAATAAACCCACTCTCTCAGAACCCAAAACATGGTTCTTCTCCAGACCATACAGAGTTCCAGGACAGAATCCCCAATGCTTCTACACTCTGCACCTTAGTGTAGAGACCCAAACTAGGCCTGGTGTTTTCTCTCCTCACTGTCCCCAAGTTCTCTCATACCACTGGTAAGGTCTGCCCACCCACAAGCCAGCCCGCCTCCTGTCTGACACAGGTAGGATTTTGTTGCCACTGGTAAGCCTGCAGGATGATCTTTTTTACTTACTCTGTCTTTGGAGCAGCTTGTTGACATTCTCCAAGCTGATCTGCAGTCCTTGGATCTTTGCATTCAAGGTGTTGGATTTATCCAGATCTCTTTGCAGCTCAGGGATTTTGGAACTAAGACTATCAACCTCTTCCCAGTTTCTTGTTAACACACTGATCTGATCACTGGCTTGCTTCATGCTGATCCGCAAAGACAGGATTTGAGAACGCATTCGGGAGAAGCTGGTGTTCAGGATCCACATCTGAACTTCAGCCTTCTCCACACTGCCTCTGTCCTTCTCAAGAACAGAACCTAGGGTGCTGATATTGTCCACATGACCTCTCAATATCTGAGCATCACTCGTCACATCCAATATTTTGTCCATCAACCTGGGATCTGGATTTGAGAAAGCCATGCAGTCAGTTGAGGAGTTCCTGAGCCACTGAGATGGAATGTTGTCTGAAGAAAGGGAAAGATGCAGGATCAAAAGAGTCCAAGGAGCTGACACCTATTATTCACTCATTCATGTTTCAGGAATGCTGGGTGGCTTAGGCCTGGAGGAGACCAAAAGGGCTCATGAACAAGCAGAGGGAGGATCTAGCAGTGAAATGCCTTAGAATGGTCAGAGTTCCCTCTGAGCCTATGAGATAGTCCCCCAGCCATATTCTGTCAAAGACACAGCCACCAACTAGGGCAACACACTCTCCCTTGTCTGCCCTATTCTATGGCCATGGGCAGGGCGATATCCATGCAGATTCCAGAACACATAGGAGGGATATTAAGCTATTTCTGCCCTTCCTTGGCCCTATTTTTCATACTCTACTAAGATCATAGGGGAACCAAAACTAACCAATAACTATCAAAAGAGACCTGTGGAACTGAAAAGTACTCAGCAGAAGAAACACTTATTCATGCGAAAAAAAAAAAAAAAAACCTGAGTTTAATTCCCAACATAATATGGCAGCCCATAACTGACAATAACCTCAGTTATAGCGAGATGTGATGCCCTATTCTATCTTTGGGCACCAGGGTATGTGGTATACAAACCATTCTAGGGTATGTGCTGCATATACATGGAAGCAAAACACTTGCATACATAATAAAATAAAATATGAGATTTCCAAAAAGAATCCTATGAAAAAGACAGTGCTCCAAGCTAGGAACAGCCAAGCATGGTATCACACACCTTTAATCCCAGCAGAGGCAGGCAGATCTCAGGGTTGCATAGTAAGACTCTGTCTCAAACAAGCAACAAGCAAGAGAGAGAGAGAGAGAGAGAGAGAGAGAGAGAGAGAGGAGAGAGAGGGAAGGAGGGAGGGAGAGAGAGAGAAAGTGGCGGAGAAGAGAAAAGACAAGACCACGAATCTAGGATAAGGTCAAGGTCAGTGTTGGGGACCTGGAAGGGTGTGACTGAGAATCTGCAACCACACGTGTCGGTCATGAAAGGAGAAACATTCCCTCCCTATACTTAATAGAGACTTAGCAGAAGGGAGAAAGGTGTGATCACAAAAGAGACCAAGAAGCTTCTAGAAGAAGAATAAAAAGGCTCGAGGTAAGGACATATAAGAGAGTGAGGTGTCTGGGAGATTTGCTGGCTTGGCCAAGTTCTCTATTGGCTCAGTGGAGAATTCCTTCCCTTGTAGGGTCAGGAGTCGGGTCCCTCTCACTGTTGGGAAATATCCACAAGGTTTTGAATCCCAGATCTCAGAGATATGAGCGACAGGATGCAGACATGACAAGCTTGGTGACTCTTAAAAGACTGAAGAGTACCCCTGAGAACAGACATTTCCTAATGCCAGTCAGAAAATCCTCCAAGAACCCAGAGCTGGAAGGAACAGCAGATCATCTAGAAACATCAAGAATCTTCCTGAAACATCATAGACTGAAGACACCAAGAGCAGCGGCAAAAAAGGATTGGGCCTCCAGGGACCTGGTGACTTACAGAAAACAGCTTGAAGTACAATAGAGATGACCAGAACCAATGACAGACAGATGAGGGCCACACGGAGGCTGATAGGTTTCCTCAGGAATGGAGATAGGTCTGGCTTAGGAGGAGGCTCTGGAAGGAGACAAAGAAGCTTGTTAAGGAAGAGTGATGGGTAAAGGCACCAAGTGGGCATGGGGCAACAGCTGGCACTTGCCTTGAGGCCAGAGGGAGATGTTCTGCTTGTCCACTGTGAAGTGGGCATCAGGGGCCTCCCTTTCCTTCATCTCCATCTCTGGCACAGGAGCTTCTGGCTGCCTGTCTCTCCAAAGGCCTTTTATCCAGAAAGAAATGGGAAATGAGTCACAGAGCAAGTCACTATGTCATGCCCAAGTTCCCTGTTCTTGGCTTAGACATTGTACCAGGCAGAGACCACAGCTTCATCCCATCTCTGAAGATCCAGGCCTTGTGTGTGTGGGGGGGCACTTGTCTTCTTTTCTGGACACAAACATTTTAATCATCTAATCTGAAGGTTTTTCTATTTCTCTTACAAAGAGCCCATCACCTATCATCCAGCCAGCATCTATCCACCCACCCTACAAACACATTCAGAGTTCAACCTCAGAGATTAATTACTCAATTTTCTAATGCAGACAGTTTGCAATCTGACAGAAAAAAAAAACCCAAAAAAACAAAAGCCTGAACAAGTAAATTACAATACAAGATGAAGAACATGGCAATGAATGGATATCCACTGTCAAAGTCATACAGGGACCAGAGTGATAGGAGTACTGATTGAGGGATGGGCACACTCAGTGTCTGTGAAATACGACTACTAGGATGTTGTAGATAGCTCTGGTCTTATGTACATGGTGACATGTGTGGCAGGGAGTGGATGTGGATTTAAGGAAGTATCTAGTCATGTGATGAGGATCCTTTTGGATCATTTTAAGGGGTTTTACCTCCCCCCAGTGGGTTCAGGAAGGAGACTTCAGGCGGGAAAAGGGCTAGAAAGAGCACCCTGGGAAGATAAGTGATTGCCAATAAACATGAGTTCCTATTTCCAGCACCCATGTAAAAATCAGGCTAAGAAGGCAGCAGGCTAAGAAGGCAGAGACAAGAGGATCCATGTAGAACCCTGGCTAACAAGTTTGGTAAGGAGAGAGCTTTAGGTTCACTGAGACCTTTTTCAAAAATAATGTGGTTCCTGGGTAAAGGAAGAAATAAAGAAAGAAATCAAAGACTTCCCAGAATTCAATGACAATGAAGGCACAACATACCCAAACCTATGGAACACTCTAAAAGCAGTGCTAAGAGGAAAGTTCATAGCATTAAATGACCTCTTGAAGAAACTAGACAATGGCCACACTAGAGAATTAACAGCACAACTAAAAGCTCTAGAACAAAAAGAAGCAAACTCACCCAAGAGGAGTAGATGCAGGAAATAATCAAATTGAGAGCTGCAGTTAATAAAGAAGAAACAAAGAAAAAATACAAAGAATCAATGAAACAAAGAGTTGGTTCTTTGAGAAAATCAATGAAACAGATAAACCATTATCCAACCTAGCCAAAAGGCAGAGAGAGAGAACATGCAAATTAACAAAATCAGAAATGAAAAGGGGGACATAACAATGGATACTGAGGAAATCCAGAGAATCACCATGTCATGCTTTGAAAACCTGTCCTCCACAAAATTCGAAAAATTAACAGAAATGAACAATTTTCTGGATAAATATCACTTACCAAAATTAAATCAAGAACAGATAAGCAATTTAAATAGACCTATAACCTCTAACAAAATAGAAGCAGTCATCAAAATCCTCCCAACCAAAAAAAAAAAAAGCACAGATGCTTTCAGTGAAGAATTCTACCAGAAATTCAAAGAAAAGCTAATACTCCTCAAATTGTTCCACACAATAGAAGCAGAAGAATTATTGCCAAACTCTTTTTTATGAAGCTACAATTACCTTGGTACCCAAACCACACAAGGACACAACTAAGATAGAGAACTACAGACCAATCTTTCTCATGAACATTGATGCAAAAATACTCAATAAAATACTGGCAAATTGAATCCAAGAACACATCAGAAAGATCATCCATCATGATTAAGTAGGCTTCATCCCATAGATGCAAGGATAGTTCAACATACAAAAAAATCCATCAATGTAATCCACCATATAAACAAACTGAAAAAGAAAAACCACATGATCATCTCACTAGATGCTGAAAAAGCCTTTGGCAAAATTCAATACCCCTTCATGATAAAGGTCTTAGAGAGATCAGGGATAACAGGAACATACCTAAATATAGGTATGCTGTATATAGGTAATATACAGCAAACTGTCAGCCAATATCAGACTAAATGAAGAGAAACTCAATGTGATTCCTCTAAAATCAGGAACAAGACAAGGTTGTCCACTCTCTCCGTATCTCTCCAATATTGTACTTGAAGTTCTTGCTAGAACAGTAAGACAACAAAAGGAGACCAAGGGAATACAAATTGGAAAAGAAGAAGCCAAATTCTCACTATTTGCAGATGATATGGTAGTTTACATAAGAATTCTACCAGGGAACTCCTACAGCTGATAAACACCTTCAACAAACTAGCAGGATACTAGATTAACTCAAAAAAATCAGTAGCCAGTCTTTTCTCAGCAAAGATATAGCAGGCAAAGGAGATGCAGGTCTAGCATTCCCAGTAAGCCAAGACCACGGGGAAATACTTAGCTTAATAGAAAATGTGTTAATTAAGTCAGAGATAACCAATATGAAACCGTAGCCAATGGCCAACAGTTTCATAATTAATGGAGCGTCCAAATTTTTCTTTGGGGCTGTGAAGGGTGGCAGGACCTGCTAAAAGAAATGGCTCCTAGATTAAATCCAATTTACATATTTTAAAAATGCCTTGTCTTCAAAAGTTAAGTACAAGGATATGTTACTTTGGAGAAAAGATTTTATTTGTGTTTCCACAGAAAATGAAAAGCTTCCTTCCAGACTAATATGGTTTAATGAAGCAAGACCCACTGAAGCAGTGGCCTATGTGATCCAACATTCAAAACAGCTGGAACAAGGCAGCCTTGCAGACCACTATAGCCAGGATTTCTGGATCTTCTTAGGATCCCCAAGATAGTGCTCCCTAACATCAGGAAGTAGTTTGGAGAAAACAATGCCCACATTCCCAAATATTGTTTATAAATGTTTATTTTCACTTTTATGGAGTTGATTATAAATGGTAATGATCATAGTCAAAATCTTTAAAGCAAAAAGGGGGGAAATGATATAGGAATGAATACTTTGCATTGGTGTGGATTTTCATTTATTGATACAAATTTAAGGTCAATGTTGTGATATGTAAATTTCTCCTCTTGTTTAGGTGTTTTGTTTATACAGATCTTTTAAAATGTAATGCATGATTAAATACAAATTGTATATAATCACTTATAATAGTCAAAACATATAGTTATGTTAGTTAGGATATCTAGATATACATAGATATATTTGAGAAAGACAGGTAGAGCAATGGAATCAAATTGAAGACCCTGACCTATACACCTACAAACACCTAATTTTTGACAAAGAAGCTAAAGCTATACAATGCAAAAAAAAAAAAAAAAAAAAAAAGAAAGCAACAAATGGTGCTGGCATAACTGGATGCCAGCTTGTAGAAGCTGACTTGTAGAAGATTGCAGACATATCCATATCTATAGCCATCCACAAAACTTAAGTCCAAATGGATCAAAGACCTCAACATAAATCCAGCCACACTAAACCTCATAGAAGAGAAAGTAGAAAGTACCCTTGAATGAATTGGTACAGAAGACTTCTTCCTGAACATAACACCAGTAGCACAGACACTGCGACCAACAATTAATAAATGGGACCTCCTGAAACTGAGAGGCTTCTCTAAGGCAAAAGACACAGTCAATAAGACAAAATGGCAGCCCCATAGAATGGGTAAAGATCTTCACCAACCCCACATCTAAAAGAGGGCTGATTTCCAAAAATATACAAAGAACTCAAGAAGCTAGTCACCAAAACACCAAAAAAAAAAAAAAAAAAAAATTTAAATTCAATTAAAAATTGGGATATAGAACTAAACACAGAATTCTCAATAGAGGAATCTATAATGGTTGAAAGATGCTTAAGAAATTGCTCAGCGCTTTTCCCCCCTCCCCCGCCCGAACTCTCTGGGTTGGCCCCTGATCCTGCTGCTCCTGTCTCCGGTCCCCATCGAGAGCACCCTTGGAGCTCTGATATACCCCCACCCATCCCCACCGCCATCCTACCCCCCCTACCCTGTCCCCTACCCCACCCATGGTCCTGCCGCTCTGGTTGAGCACTGGGACAGAGGGACTGGAGCCAACAGTCCACCCTACTTCGGAGACTTCTCGGAGCAACTCTGAACAAAGGAAACCTGACTACCCACGCGGGACCACCCGTAATTTCCACGGCTTGGTCTCTGACCCCGCCTCCAGTTCTCTGCTGGAGTCCCGGGCCCCTCCCAGAGATCCGCCTATCTCTGTGGGTCCACTCAGAGTTCCTGCAGCAAGATCCTTGACCCCCAAATCGTGGCCTCTGCCAAAGAATGACACCACCAGAATCTAGGGAATCTATACCAACTAGAATGGAACATAACAACAAAGCAGAGGAAGCAGAAGGGTACAACTTAAAAAATTACCATCATAAAAATGATAGAGGCCCTCAAAGAAATGTGCGAAAATCCCTTAAAGAAACGGAGGAAAAAACAAACAAAAAAGTGGAAGAAATGAACAAATTCCTTAAGGAAAGTACAGAAAGCCAAGAAAAAACAATTAAGCAGGTGAAGGAAACAGTTCAAGACTTGAAAACTGAAATAGAGAAAATAAAGGTAACACAAACCGAAGGAATGCTGGAAATAGAAAAACTGGGCAAAAAATCGGGAACAACAGACACAAGCATAACCAACAGAATTCAAGAGATGGAAGACAGAATCTCAGGCACAGAAGATAAACTAGAAGAAATAGATTCATCGACCAGAGAAAATCATAAATCCAACAAATCCTTAACACAAAACATCCAGGAAATGTGGGACACCATGAAAAGGCCAAACCTAAGAATAATAGGCATAGAGGAAGGTGAGGAAGCCCAGCTCAAAGGTGCTGAAAACATATTCAACAAAATCATCGAGGAAAACTTTCCCAATCCGAAGAAGGACATGCCCATGAAAGTAAAGGAAGCATACCGAACCCCAAATAGGATGGACCAAAGAAAAAAGACCCCTCGACATATAATAATTAAAACACCTAGCATACAGAATAAAGAAAGAATATTAAGAG